GGTCAGAGAAAGAACAAAAATTACAGAGTTTGTATGGAAGAAAATTGGAATTTCCTGGGGGTAGGGAGTGTCTTAAAATAATTCCTCCATGAGGGGGGTATGGATAATTTTTGGAACTACACAATGTCAAATTATATGAGATAAGGGGGGTTTTATTTATTAGCATATCAGGGAGGGGGCCAGCAACGTTATCTTGAGAAAGTGGTTCAGGGGGGGGGGGGGTGATCACATATTGAGGAGGTTGAGAGATATTGCAGGGTGATGAAAGGGGATTATGCAAATGTTAGTAAAGCTTTCCTTGTGATTTTGCTGACCCCCCCCCCATGCACTAATAAATGAAAGCCCCCTAAACCAGTGGCATGCTACTGAATTGAAGATCACAGTGGTTGAACAAAGATCATAGATTATAGCACAGCATATTCAATATACAGTGTTTGGTTATAGTTTTTTCATTGGGTTGAGACTATCTTCAATAAAGACTTATTTCAGCCTTACTTACCAGTAGATCCCTTCTGTAATGCTTCAGAATACTGCTTCAATACAGCATTTTCCTGCTGCAGAGATGCATTCACCTCTAATAACCTCGAGTTATCTGTTAGCACATCATGGATCCATTTTTTGGTTTTGCTTGATTTTTTGGCCTCCTTTCTTGGTAATGGAACTGCATCGACTTCATCATGGTATCGTTCAGTATGTACCACTTGAGATCTCTTAGAATCCTTAGACTTCTCATGTCTTTTTTCTTTGGAAGAAACATTATGTAACTCTTTCTCTAATATTTTGCTTTTTTCCTCTTGTTCTATCATCTTTGATTTCAAGAAATCTTGTTGAACTTGCAAAGCCTAGAATATAAAATAGAATGCAATGATGCTACTTTAGGAAACCAACCATTACATGTACATGTATACAAACTTAGGTGCATGAAGACAAGGAAAGACTAGATTTTACTTGTTTTGCAGGGGAGGCATTTATACATTTCAATTAGTGATGGGCTAACAAACCTGTGACCTTCATTCCTTAAGAAATTGGAATTTAGAAGGTAATTTTTTGCAAAGGGAGGAAAGCAGAGAAACGGGCTAAGAAAAACCCTCAAAATAGCACTGTACAAGCCAAGGGCACAAATCTTTTGATCTTTAAAAAACGTTGAATATTATATTGTTTTTGTTATTTAAAAAAAACCAAATTGAAATCATTTTTAATGTCTTATTGACGATAAATTGTGTCATCACATTGTTAGAGTAGTGTGGATGCACGAGGCGAAAAAAATGGTGTCAATTTGTTAAACTTACAACAGCTGCAAACTAATGTTTTCTACACGCAACAAAATTACTCGACTCTGATTGGTCGAGAGGAGTACAATTATAGCGTTAATTGTACTCCGTAGGAGTACCGAATTAAGTGGCTATGGCAACACGGCCAAAACAATGTCAAAACAATAATTTTCTATCATTTTGTACTTAAAAGCATAAATAAAATTTTAAAGCCATAAGAACTAATCTTTTTTATGCATTTCAGTTGCACGATGGACTGGAAATCGGCCGTCAAATAGACAAAGATGGACGGCGTCGCTTCGCATTTTTTACTGAAATTTTGTTGAGTGAACTATAAACRAAAAATCGCACGATCTTCTCGTACAATTTGGAATTAATAGACACTCTTAATGTTTTGAAAGTTCTTTAATTGTACTCCCCTAAAGACTCGTGCAATTTCAAGAACTTTCAAAACATTACTCGTGTCTATTAATTTCCAAATTGTACTCGAGATCATGCGATTTCCTATACTAATTTCAAAATATTTGATTGATAACTGTTAAATACATGAATTTGTATATATCCGCACCTACAGTTAAAATGCACTTATTATATGGAATGTTCTTCTCTCACTGGAAGAGTGTTGTGAAAAACCTTTAATACATGTATGGGATCTCAAACACCAGGCCCTTTACATTATAGTCAAAACCACTTCCAACATCGTTTGCTTACTTTAATTTCTTAGACTAAAGTACATGTACATGCTCTTTTACTCCGACGAAGGACTAGCGTCCGAAACATCAGTAAGTTTTTTCATCTTTTCACAGTGTATAATTTACCTTTTCATCATTACTGTTTCATTAGAAACACCGATGCAGCTCACACTAGTTTTTAGCTAGTTATATCTTTTTACATGTACAGTTGGTTGCTATTTTCATCAGGGGAATTAAATATAAAATAAGYGAAGCATTTTCATTATTATATCGTAGAAATTAAATATGATTCAAATAATGCAAAAGGTCTTTTTAGTAAGTAAGGGAAGGGATGTTTTTTTGTTTTTTTTTATTGGGTGTAGTGCTGCCGGGGCTTCTGAGGGGGGGTCATCAATAAAAATTTAGATTTTAGTGGTGTCAAACCTTTTAATAGACCTATCCTGAATTCACTTGACTGACCACGAAACAATGGTTTGGAGTTGAGGCTGAACTTGATTCTTTTATTCATCAAGTTCAACCTCGACTTGAAACCATCATTTCATGATCAGTCAAACGAATTTGGGATAGGTCTATCGTGATGAAAGCTAGTTTCTTTTTGACTTAATAGGATGGTCATGAATTTCTTATCGAATGAATAAGGGCTACAGCTATCTGAAAACAATTACTGCAAATTCCCCCAACCCCTTCCCCCCAAAAGAAAAGTCCCTTCCCTTTACATCAACCCTACTACTGTAGCTAGCCTCTTTTGGATAAATAAAACCAATTTTAATACCAAGATACCTGTCTTTCTTGGATAAACTTCAGTTCTTTGTCTTGCATTTGCTGTAGCTGCTGTTTGTGTAGCTGTTCATATTGTTGTTGATGGTGTTTCTGTTCATTTAGCAGTCTAATGATCTCCTGTTCCTGCCATCTGATTTCTGCCAAGTCTTTGTCTTTGGGAGTCAACGAACTGATGTTGGATTTCACATCCCTCATTTGAAGTTCTAAAGAGTACAAATAAAATAATAAAAATATAGCCTTTGGTTTGTTGGATCATAATATCATCATCATCACTTCTCACAGCACCATTAATTATGCATAAGGCATAAGGTGTTGCATAATTATAAATAAAACCTTTAGTCTAACTAACTCAATTTATATATCTGTAATATATAAATCCAAGCTTTCATTAACACTTTGTCCATCATGAGGGTAATGAAGTGTGTGAAATGAGCAACTGAGTCATGTGACTTATGATAAAAATAAACAAACAGCAAAACAACAAGTTGTGTCATAATAAACATTGAAGATGTTAGAGCATTTTTAAATTAGCAAGTAGAACTAAAATGTCAGCTTATATTATATCAAATTGAAACTTTATACTAAGGGTTTGTATAAAAAAATACACTAGACTGCAAAGAAAGCTAGATGGTAGGGTCAGTAGAGTCACATGCACTATTGCAGTTGGTGTAATGGAGCTATAATCAAGTGAAGTATATTTGGTTGGTATTGTTCTATCAATATATCTGTGTTGTTCAATGCTGTTCCCTGCAATGAAACAAGTTTTTTCTGTTTCCATCTAAGTTCAATGAAGAGGAATTAAGTCTGATTCCACAAAATGCTGTTCCCTGTTTCAGTCAATATGATGGATGCAGTGTCTAACATCGATCCCAGTCTATATTATAGAGGAGTTCTGTCATCTCAACCCTCCTGAGGATCTGGGAAAAGGTTCAAAATAAAGGGCTTTGGGATACACAGGTTAAAATAATTATAGTTATGCAAGTTCACATGACTTGGCCTAAGGAAATGGGAAATTCAAGATAACAGACTCCATTGTTTTCATAACCATAGATAAAACAATATTATATAAATTAAAAACTGTTTAAATGTTGCATTATTATTTAGGGGTCGTTTACATGATACTGGAATGGGTTTCATTCCGGAAGGACTGAAACCAGAGCAGGGCCAACACAAACCTAGTTGTCTTATTTGACTGCAAAGATTCTCCTGTTGTTGTAAGATCCTTTCTTGGTGTTGTTCATAGTGTACTTGCTGTTTCTGCTGTGATCTGAGAAACTGCTCCTGCTGTTCAACTATCTCCTTCTGTATTCTAACATCATGATCACTTACAGCTGAAGACAAACCCTGTACTCTATCATACTGAATCTCCTCCAGCAACTTCAACTGTCCTTGCAGTTCTTGTTGTTGTTGAACAAGCCTGTCAGTCTGTTTTTGTTGTTCTTTCTGCTGCTGTGCTTGCTGTTCGTAGACATTTTCTTGCTGTCTTATCAACTCCTCCAGATGTTTTTGTTGCTGTATGAATATCTTTTCATTTGATTCTCTTTTGTCACCATTCTGGTCTGGACTCTCTGGATTCCTCCTATAACTTTTCCCATTTCCTTTATGTAAACTACCAGTACTCTGTTGTAAAGATACAGGACTAGCTTCTGTCAAATCAAAATTATTGCTCTCAATATTTTGCGGCTCTTCAACAAGATTAGTATCAAAACTATCGGTAAGTGTTTCATTAAAGTTTTCCTTCTCAAATTCAGTTCTTTGGTGCTCAAACTTGGACTGAGAAAGTCTTAATAAGTAGCTTTCCTCATCCTCAGATATATCAGAAAGACCAACATTCTGTGATATCCCTTCAAAACCAAGTCTATCTGTCTGCCTGGATTCCTTGTCTGGCCTCCCATTTCCATTACTACTTAAAGGTTTTATAGTGTGACTAGAGGTATTATCATCAAGTCTTGCCTCTTCTGTTGAAATTTGTGCTTTTTTCTTTTGGCTGGACTTCCTAGAACTTCTCTTTTTATTTATCAGATTACTTTCTGACTCCCCTGATGTCTTATTTTCTGTCATTTCTATACTATGATCATCTTTGGTTCTAGCTTCATGTGGGGCATTCAAGATATTACTTTTATCAAGTTGGATTTCAGATTTTTTCAAGTTTTTATCACTTGATTTCCTGGGCTTTTTTCCTTGTCCTTCCATCAACTTTTCATGTTTTGCTATCAAAGAATCTATATTTTTGCTGCTGCTTTCCTCTGAAGTATCATCATCCTTGTTCCTTCTCCTTGTCTTATGAAGTTTAGTGTTTTGATTTTGTTCTTTTTGGATATCAATATTTGTGTTCACTTGTTTAGGTCTTGTCTTAGATGAAAATGAGCTATCTTCATCATTAGTTGTTACATCTGTCAAATCTTCATCACTGCTTGAAACTTCAATCCCTGAACCTTCATAATCATCATCCTAAATAGGACAGAACAGAGGATAACATATTTTATCAATACTCCAGTTTTGAATTCTCTGTTGCCCAGGGTTAGCCTAGATTTAATTTTAGAAATTCTGATGGTGGGCAATTGAATTTCAAAGCCGTTGTTCATTAGTGTACAATTACAATTACAATTTATTTATTTCAAAGGCCACTGTATACAATTTGTACATTGGCACATGGCCAAAGAAAATACATTCAATCAAAATCTTATAAGTCAAGATATTATTATATATGATAAATAGTTATATTATTGTTCTCTTAATTGAAAGCAATTGTGTATATATTTGCAAACAAGGCTTTGGATTTTTTCTGGAGGGTTAAACAGATTCTGGACAAAATAATTTTCACTCTTTTTTTTTAATTCATTAAATTTCTGCTTTTCATGACATCAAACAAATTCTTTCTCAGACTCTCATAGCATGGACATTTCACCAGGTGTGTATTGTTGAACAGGGAAATAACCCCCCCACCCCCCTCCAAAAAAATGCACACTTTTATTGGACCATACAGAGCTCTCTGAAATTACTAATTGATACATTGTCTTTCTTGTAATAAAAATATATTTTTGAAATCATTGTTTCTGGTGCTCATTCCCAATCTTACACTCTTTTTTATATGGTCTATAAGTTTAATTTCTATGGATTTGATTGTTTTTCTTTGGATAAGATTGCAAATTACTGTATTGTACCTCATAACTCAGCACTGAGATGCTATTAATTCATGCTAGAAACTGCAAACGTGAAATGCATATGAGGACTCCATGCTGTCCAATTAAGAAATAATTGGACAAGGAAAATTCCGAGGACTGAGAAAATTATATTGGATGAGGTCGTAGTCCGAGTCCAATTTGGCAGCCAGAGGAATTTTTCGAATCTAATTATTTCTTGATTGGGGAGCATGAAATCCCATTACCTATTAATTATATAGCTGCCTAATATTAATCCCATATCAACAAGACCTGTCCAATTAAGAAAATAATTGGACAGTTACCAATATGGGATTAATGAGAAGCTGTATAATTAACCGGAAAATGGTACACTGCTCCCCAAGTGGTCAAGACCTCACTAAACCACTTTTGTTGAGATTGTTCTTCCTTTATTTTGACTCTTAAATAAGGGTTAACCCCTGAGTAAATGATACCGTAATCAAGAAACGCAGTAAAAGTTAGGAATAGAGGACTCAAAATTTTAAGATTCAGATGAACTTTGTGGTAACTAAGGTTTGTTATAAGAGTGGACCATTATAAATGACATATATCTTTATAAATACCAGCTTTTCTGGACAAAAACTAGCAAGCTGCGATAGTTAAATTTATATTGTGCACAGTGAAAATATATCTCTAATGGGAACCAGCAGATAAGTACTTACTTTTGGATGATCTGATCCCTGAATTTGCGATAGAACAGACGTTTTCTTTGTTTTATCTACTTTAGCATAAACAGGCTCTCCCACCGAATTATCGTTTTGCCAGTCTTCAACGACGTCATCATAAACATGATCGTCTCCGTTTTGTCCATTGCCAGTCTTCGCGACTTCATGGCTTTCATTCTCAGTCTTAGCATCATTCCTCATATGATAAAATTTCGTTGTTTTATCATAGCCGTCAGACCTACTTGTCCCAGCAACTTCTACAGCTTCATACGTAGGATCATCCTCGCCTGGTTGTCGTTGACTGGTGGAGGGCAATACTACATGTGGTCCTTCGAGGTTCCCTGTAATTTCCCCTTGGTTTCTTTCGAGCTCGGCTTGCGATGAAGAACGGTTGATGTTTCCCACGAATGCAAAACCAACGTTTCCTGCTTCTCCAACAGCTCGAGCAACAGGAGAAGAAGCTGAAGATCTTGGCCATGTTGACGACAATGGAGCACTTGCACTGCGAGGTACAGCAGCAAATATCGCACTGGGAACCAATTGAGACGCTATGTGGGACTGAAACGAGGATAAGAGAACACACAAATTAGATATAGCAACAATTTACTCTTGTGGTATATGAGAATAATCCTACCAAAGATCCAGACAAGTTTTTCTTGTCTTTCTTTTTCTTTTTCTTGCCCGCCATTTTCAGTCAACGCATGCGTAGTTGTCCCCACGACGCTAAAAAATTTGCTATGGCGACCAATCCACAGGAAGCCCAACTACTATATTTACTTCAGCCACAAAATACCATTTTGTGAATTTCTTCAGTGATATCTTTATTTTTTCATTCAGGGCTGCTGCTTTTACTTTTTTACGGGGTAAATGAGTAACAATTTTAAAAAGATAACAGCTCGCGTCGCGATTAGCCTGTGTACAGCCCCTTCACAGCCCTCCTCCTTCGGGGTGGTTTTGAGTTCAATCCAAAGTCCTTCTAGTAGTATAGTTGAATTAAACTGTCACTGATGTAGATGACGGCTAGTTTTTGGAACTAGTTTGGGCTGCGTCGGTGTTTTTTAGTTGAATCAAATGTGTCGTAGTGGATAATTTTATCACCGTAAATACGAAAGATAATAGACTGACGTTACGGACGTTACTGTCCTTCGTCGGAGTCAACGTCCGAAACGTAAATCTTCTATTTTCGTACTTATGGTGATAAAATTATCTACTACGACACATTTGATTCAACTGTCAATCATCATTTCCACCCATGGACTAGCCGCTACCCATTGAAGGTTGTCGCATAAAACGTTAGCCGTGGTATGTTTGCATTTTGCCGTTCCTCAGTAGGGTTCTGTTGTGAAAGCCGAAATGAACGGCCAACATACTTCACGTCAAAACAATAAAGTAATCCTGTGGGATAATAATTTACTGCATGGCATAGTACCAACCCACACTGACTGGACATCCGGTGACGATTGATTTTCCAAACTCATCCTTCAAGGGGCTTTTTTGTATCATAGTTTGCTTTCCGCTATAAAAGCGAAAACTTGCTCTAGAGAAGGCAGGAATGTAGCGACCCCCCGCCCTCCCCTCCAAAAGAAAAGTTTGACTAAATGAATTAAAATCGTACACTTTTTCTTGTCGTGAAAGATAATACCGTAAACAAATTAAACATAACGGTGCATTGCCTCCCACCGCCACCCCGGTCAAGATTGGGTATTCTGGTTTACTTCCATCTCTAATAAACAACATGTGAGTTGAGGGGCGTGTAAATCGAACATTGAATAGTACTATATCCTCACTGAATACCATTGTCACGTCGCAGTAATTAAGTTATGGGGCAAGATCCGCTCCTCTACTTCTTCTCCAGTAAGGAAGAAAGGTCCCTGGCCATAGACCCCTCGATTGATCATTCCAACACTCAAACCTCGTCTATCAACAACTGTCCTTTATTGCCGAAACAGGCCTAATTGTGCCGGTGAATCCTTACTAATCCATCACTCAACACTCGTACACTCTAAACATGAACAGACAAAGTGAAGGCAGTGCTAAGCCCCGCGGAATAAACCTGGCTAACCTGTCAGACATAACTGCAATACCGGGATACCGACCGCAACAACTGCAACTGCCGCGTATCTACTCCACGTGTTGTGTGGTTCACTTTGTCGCTAACGCTAGAGGTTTCTAATGTGAGGGCGAACAAAACTGTATGAAAAGAAACCGCTAACAGGGTGTAGTATTGAAAAGCTAAAGAAATTAAAGGGGGGGGGGGGGGGGGTAAAAACCTATATTTGCTATATGGGTATGTGCCACCCTATATGGGTATGGTTTTTGGGTCTGGGGTAGGGTATCATTTTTCGACATTTTGTCTGGGATAGGGTATCATTTTAGTCGGGGATAGGGTTAACGATCTGGTCGTTTTTGTCTGGCAAATAGGCTACGCTTTCTGCCGACACAAAAACAATAAAAATGTTAGTAAATATTGATTGCAATCGATTGTAAAACCGTATTTTNTTGCCGAAACAGGCCTAATTGTGCCGGTGAATCCTTACTAATCCATCACTCAACACTCGTACACTCTAAACATGAACAGACAAAGTGAAGGCAGTTCTAAGCCCCTTGGAATAAACCTGGCTAACCTGTCAGACATAAGTGCAATACCGGGATACCGACCGCAACAACTGCAACTGCCGCGTATCTACTCCACGTGTTGTGTGGCTTCATTTTGTCGCTAACGTTAGAGGTTTCTAATGTGAGGGCGAACAAAACTGTATGAAAAGAAACCGCTAACAGGGTGTAGTATTGAAAAGCTAACGAAATGAAGGGGGGGGGGGGAGAAAATAATGGTCCAAGTGATATCACGATCAGGTATTGTTTGTGTAAATGTAACTTGGAAATTAAGTGTCAAAACTTTGGAGATTGTCTGGGTTTGCGATCTGTGGTTGACTCTGAAGGCCGGTCGAGGTAMGTTTGGAGGCCATACTCTCAAATAGTGAAAGCACTTTAGGCGTCTCAGCCATTCGAGAGTAATGTTCCGCCATAGAGGTACTATGCCAGCCGACATATCGAGCCAGTTCATCTGAGGAACATCCCATGTGTTTTAGRGTGTTCGAAAGACCCACGCGGAAACTGTGCGATGTTTCTCCGTAAATTCCTGCGTCTTGTAGGTGTTTATGCAGACGATTGGCAACGGCTGAAGCGACGAAGGGCTGATCACTGATGATGGATTTTGACTGTGAGACTCTTAAGAAATAACCCGAAGCTAGTGGGACTTCCAGGGCCTTGCACGCTTTGATATAATAGCGGATCCAAAGCACTGGACAGACGTCACGATGAGGTACGGGGACGACAACAAAGGGTCGGGGACGTCCCGCGGACCTGGTCTTACCAATCGTAAAATTGAGGAGGTACCCTTGTCTGTCCTTAAGTTTGAATACTTGGTCAGAACGAAGGCGTCCAAGATCGGATGCTCTATCACCCGTAAAAACGTCTATGACGAAAAAGGTGGCGTCTCGAGCTAATATATACTTGTCCACCAGACTGAGTTCTGAGCCGTTGGCAATGAGGTGTCGGAGGTGAGACGTCAAGCGTTGAAACTTGGTGAAAAAGATGGGCACAGCTTGGCTTGGGACGATGGCTTTACTCGCTTGTTCTTCTCGAACRAATKTCAAGTARTCCTTCACCCTTGGATGAGAGATCGGGTTAGAGTCATTCRTTCGCCCAGCGTTATTAAAGATGGCTCGAATCTTTCCTATTGTGGAGTCTACTGTACCGGCTGCTAAACGCCTTGGGCAGGTACAGTTGTCCTTCGGACACGAGGGCTCGTGAACAACAGTTCTACCACCTCYGTCCCGACTAATCAAAAACTTGATAACATCATCCGCTGTGCAGGAGGTAATTGTCTTCGGGGGCGCCAATGTCAACAGAAACTCGGCCAAATGGTCTCGTAAACGTTGTTTTTGACGCTGATAAGRCTTGGCGAGAAGGGAAGTGGTAAATTCGTCGAAACGGCGCTCGATGGCAGATTGGTCGACACCTGTTGCTTCCCTGGCAGCAAGAGGTGTGTGCTGAGGCGAGCCACAGGCTTGACAAAAATTGGCGTCYCAATCGTTTGGATATAAACAGGCGCTACAACGCCGGRCGGCTTTCCAGGGGCGCGAAATCTAGGACAAATAACGCGAAATGTCTGAAGGTTAATGACAAATGCAGCGGAACGCCCATAAGTCCCACTGTAGAGGCTTGGGGTGAAACCCGGGTGAATTCCGCGAYGGGAAGAGTAGAGTCCGTGCACAACCTCGSAGCCSAAGGCGGTGTTGATCGACGGAGATGGACTGGAGTAATGCCCACCAGTAGCGCCGAGGCCGAAGATCAGGTACAATCACTGTAAAGGCGATATGCCTTGGCTGATCAATGAGAAAGCGCAGTAAAGGACCCATTAATAGGAAGGGCGGAAAGACGTAAATGTTGTGGTCGAC